GCTGAATTTGTTGGGGAGTTCTGTCTGCTCCTTTGCACAAATGCAGTAATTCCCCTGAGCTCTCACTAACATGTTTCTGTGAACAGGGTGCACCATACTGTGCAAAACCTCCACATATTTCACAGATAATGTGATCTAGGTTTTTTTCTGAGGTTTCAGTGGAACTTGACGAGTGGTGATTTAGAGCTGAACAAGAAGCAAGGCTGGAGAAGCATGCTAAATATTTTTCTTGTTTAGCTGAGTTGTCTAATACTGGAACTGGAGAAGACGAGCTTGCACAAAGCCTTCTGATATTGACTCTGAGTCAGGCGTTATTATCCCTCTTTTAGAGAGTCAGAAACAAGAATTGGCTTGCCCATGCCCACACAGAAATGCACAGCTAGAGTCAGCATTACAGCTTGGTTACTCAGGCAAACACGGACGTGCACCATGTATCACACTTGCTCCTACCCTACTTGCTGTAAAGTAGGGATGCTTCTCGTGCAGTGGTCAGATGCATACTCCTTGTTCTATTGCTGTCTTTCATGAGTATGCTTTTTCTCTTTTTAGTGTAATTTTATTTTTAATCTAAAACTGTTCATGAATAAAGTAATCCTAGTCAATGTGTTGCAGTTTCATAACTATAAAAATGTCTCCTTGAGCCTGGATTGTTTGTAACTGTAGAGCTTTCTGTTGCTGGCTCTCCTAGACAAACTGGTGTGTACTAGTGGAAAGCAAGAGAGGACATGCGAGAGTGGTAGAAGGAAAATTCCCTTGCCATAGCAAAACACAACACTGAAAATTAGAGAACAACCAATGTAACGGAAAGCAGCAAGTTCTAAAAGATTTAGAAAACGTCAAGTCGATGCTGAGGTTGAGACTTGTGTTTCCTGTCTGTTGATAGTTTTTGAATGCCTTTGCCTCTCCCTAGATGTTGGGCATAACTGTTTGTGTCAACTTCCCTAGGCTGAGAGCAGAATCTGCAGGCCCTTTCCTTTAAAGCCTTTGGAATTTACATAACCCTGCAATTGTAGCAATGCAAAATGTGGCTCTGGTTACAATAACATGGGTTTAGGGAACGCAGGGAGAGATTGTAGCGGCAAAAGCATAAAAGCAAAACAAAACAAAACCCTACATGCTGTTTTAATTTTCAGCAGCCACGTGAGAACTGTCCTCCAGTTCCTAGCTATAAATAAATCTCTGCCGTCATAGGAAGACAAAAAACAAAACAGTTCACATTCCTCCCAGCATTTTCTTAAGGTTATAAAATAAAGGAAAGGTAAATATTTCAAAAGCAGAGTGTGTCTGTGCTGAGGAATGCCAAATTGGTACTCAAGGGGCTTGATATTTGCATCAAGTGAAGAAATTTGGCATTAAACCACTCTTTCTCTGCTCCATCTCCACCAGCTGTTTTGAGAAAATCACTTAGGACTGCATATGGATAATGCGCCAGGCAATGCTTCTTAAGCCCCAGGGGTACACTGCCCCAGTGTCAGCTGAGGCAGGAGCTTTCTTTGCGATGAATGAGGACTACACAGAAGCGTGCCTGTTGCTTGTTCTTCTCGGATGTTACATCCTAGTCCTGTTACGTGTTGTGTTAGGAAGATGGGGACTTGGTGCCAGGGTTTTTCCACTTTCCCGGTCACTTGGGGTTAGGCCTGCAGCTTGCTCCTTTGAAAAGATGCAGAATTAATGGGAATGCTCTTCATGCCTTTTCCCCAGCTTTGAACGCTCATTTATTAGACTTAACTTGAAGGACAGGATGGATAGAAGGTTGTATAAGGTATTAGGCGTATGTTGTAGAACTGGGAGTTTTGTTGCATTGGCTCTCTAACCAGAAAAAAAAAAAAATCATTTGCACAGAAGTGATAAAATATCTATGTCTATGGTACATCTGTTTTCCAGAAGCCATAGCAATAGTGAAAGCTGAAACAGGGAAGCTTTCTGGAATATACTTGTGTTCCTGGAACAGCACTGGGGAGCAGATTGGGCATCTGAAGACAAATTCTTTGCTTCCCCTTATGGTAAAGGAATATTGACCTGTTATGCTGGCACTGGAGCAGAGGAAAAGGTGGAGAATTAGCTTCATGATTTGGATGTGGCAACAACAACAACAAAAATCTTAAGGTTTATCTATTCCTCTGACTGCTCAGATGCATGGAAAAATGTTCAAGTTAGTGAAGACTAGTCAAAGAGGTTGCACTTTACTGATGAGTTTTCTCTTGCGGTGACACATACAGAATCATAATTTCTCAAATTCACTACACAATTCAGCTGGGGATGAACAAATACCAACACACTTTCCAAGGCAAACTCTTCCTGCCTTGTTGAAAAATTACCCCATATCCCCAAGTAATTTTTTCAACAGCATGAGGGAGTCAAGGAGAGAAGTGGATAGAGAATCTTGGCATCAGGTCCCGTCTCCCTTGCATTAAATCTAGCCTCCTCCTACAGAGTTGTGGTCTCAAATGAGATGTCTTATTATGGATTGAGTGGCTTAAGAAAAAAAGAAAATTGTGTTTTTCCAGCCATCCAGATTAATTAATAGAAATACCAGTGGCTGTACCACTGGCTGAAAATCTAAACAGAGTATTTCGACTCTCTTTGTTGAGATGAGGAATGGGTTTTATAGAGTTGTGAGACAAAGAAAGAGTGAGTGAATGAATGAATGAACACAGCTGTAAGATGCTGTAAAGTTTTTATTTCTGTGTGTTTAGGATGACCACATTATTCATAAGTGGTTGAGCCATGAGTGAGTTGCTCAACTTATCCCAGTAAAAAAATCTGTATGCTTACTTGGTATTATCAAAGGTTTTAATTTCTGCCACTTTACTTTGTTGAGTCATGTATTTATTCATGTTTCCTTTGCTCACTTCTTTTAGGGGACGATAGGTATTGTAGAAACACTGTCACAAGTTAGGATAGGATTTAGTTATGTGGCTACATGTTGACATGGCTAAAATATGAGCAGAAGGCTTTTGAAAAACGTGTAAAGGTCATGTGACTGGGTAGTGAGATCCTGTGTCACTGACAGATGCAAAGGTACAAATGCAGAATCAAACAGCATGATCGTCAACAATGCTGTAGAAATAAGCAGGTCTGCTTGATAAATAAGCTTCTAATTATTACTTGTGGCAAAACAAATGTGGTCAGCTGTTCACATTCAGTTTCAGTGGATCAGAATGGAAAATTGTTACAATTGCAGGTGTCATAGGGTAAGCTACCCTACTTTCAGACTCATGGATGAGAAGATATAATGCCATGTGAATCACGTGGCTAAGGATAGCTCTTAAGGGAATATCAGGATAGACTGACTCATAAAGTACTAATACAAGGAATGAGAGGAGATAACCTTCAGCAGAGAGACCTGGACATACCAGAAAGAGTCCAACAATGGTCTGTGAAGATGATTAAGAGTCTGGAGCATCTGATATAGGAGGAGAAGCTGGGAGAGATGAAGCTGTTTATCCTGGAGAAGAAAAGGCTTAAAGAGGTCTTATCCATGTATATAAATAGCTGATGGGGAGGAGTAAAGCAGATGTAATGAGATGCTTCTCAGTGGTGCCCCGAGACAGGGCAGGAGTTAATGGGCACTAATTGAAATACAGGAAATTCCATTCAAACATTAAAAACAAAACAATACAAATAAAAACAACATTCTTTTACTGTGAGGGTAATCGAACACTGGAACAGGCTGCCCAGAGAGGTTGTGGAGGCACCATGCATGGAGACTCTCAAAACCTGATGGGATGGTGCCCTAAGCAACCTGCTTTTGTTGCCCCTCCTTTGAGCAGGGGCTTTGGAGTAGACGATTGCCAAAGGTCTCTTCCAACCTCAGCTGTTCAGTGAGTCTTACTTGTTTTTTTCTTATGACTGAGTCAAAACAACTATGATCACAGGTGGCACTTATGAGCAAGACCAAGTACTATTTGGGATGTCCTGTCCTATGTCCTCTTAAAATAAGTTATTTCAGGGCAAAAATGAGAAACTGTGGTGAAAGGTTTCTGGAGGACATGTAGAATTGCTTCTTGTGCTATATATAATCGGAGGTTGAGTAGAGGACCTCACTCTCTCAAGTTTCTAATGTGTCATCTTTCATCAGTACCAAGTTCTCAAAGAAATAGATAAACAAATAAATCCTGAGTTTGCCCCATGTTGACGAATCTGTGTTAAAACTGATACTGTTTCTTCAGTGGAAAATTAGGTTAGTGAAGTGAAAACAAGGCCCTATGTTTCTGTTATCCCCCAAAGACTTCAGTTTCTATGAATAAAGTTAATGCACCCACGGAATAACTGATGATTTTAATGATGTTTCTCTTAAAACAGCTTAGTTAAATGCCATGGGAAGCAAACAAAGAGAAGGTCACTTTAATGGCATTTCCTAAAATGACAGTACAGCAGCAATTGTGGAATGTCTTGGAGCATAATCATTTGGCTTTAATAATACCAAAAAAAAAGGGGGGGGGGGGGGGGAAGGGGGGGGAACAACCAACAAAACAATAACAAGAAAATTAGCTGACTGATAAAAGTAATAAATTCATAACAGATCTCTTCTCCTAAATGTTCGAAGTCATTTCTCTAGAGCAGCTGATACAAGAAGTCAGAGCCAATAGCTCTCTGTCAGCTGAAAACCATCTTTGTGTATGTTAATCACACTGCAAGGACTTTTTTTTTCTTCTAACAATGATCACTTAGGATCATTTCCTCACACTCAAAGATAAGGGTTGAGTAACCAATTGACAGTTTTGCTACAATGCAGATGCAATTGATAGCACCCAAATAGCACCCACTGCCTGAATCTTCTTATACCAAGTATGTACATATCAATCATTCTGTTTTCAGACAAAGTGATTCCACCAAAACACTGGAAGGCCAACCCTTTACTGAAGTTAATAGAGGCCATACTGGAACTTCTGTACACATTTCTTCTGTAATTTCATTTCAAAGTCACTGAAACATTGTAGATGCCTTTTATATTGATAGAAAGCTAACAAACTATGTATCTGTAATTGTTTCTCCAGAAAACCATCTCTACTGTCGCAGCAGCTGTACTAAGTCATCTGAAGGTGAAGTTTTCCTACGTGACAAGGCCTTGAACTGAACACAGAACTATACAGAGAGAGAAGAACAAATCAGAAACTACACAGATCATCCAGGTTAGTTCTGATTTACAGGATGGGCATGGGAGTAGAAATCCTAAAAATACTGGGAATGGGATTTTAGCTGTCACTTTTTGTTCTGTTTATCTTTCATGATAAAACCTACATTCCCCAGGCAAGAAGGATCTTCCACTGATTGCAAGGTGGTTTTCAACACAGCAAGGTTACAGCAAACACTTACTGTCCCTAACTATATACAAGCCAGGTGTGTTTGGAAGCAATGTAACTCCTAATGTCATCAAAATTGTAAACTCCTACCCCTTCTGTTCTCTTTACCATGTCATTTAAATAAAATAGAACAGAACTTGAATCCAGGCTATGCTACAAGTGTTAGTCGTGCCGTCACTCAGTTTGAGGGACAACATAACAACCTTGTTTTGATTAGAATTAATCTAAACTGGAGGCATTTCTCATAAGTTAACTTTCTTCTAAGTCTTGTAAATAAGCACATTTGAAATGGTAATTTAGTCATGTTCTTGATTTTATGCTCTAATTTCCCTCTTTCCTTCCTTTTTCACTCCTCTATTCTTCTACAGTGACCACCAATTAGAAGAAAACTTAATGTCAGCATCTTCCTCCTGAGTGCAATTTAGAATCCTTCAGAGCTTCAGTCTATTAAGAAGAGTTTGTGTATTCAGTTTGTGTGCCAAGTCTGATTATACCTAACACCTCATCATTTTCAGCATCCTTTCTGTTTCTTTCATAGTGCTTGCAGCAATCACAGGAAAAAAAAAAAAGTGTGAAACCTCTTTCACGTAATATTTCCACTGTACAGGATCCAAAATACTGTGAGGTTGTGTGGGTGATGGTGCATGCTTCAGTGGATGTAAAGGAGTATATCAAGTAGTAGGGCAGTGGTGAATCAGTTGTCAGGGCTCAAGCTCAATCATACTTCTGCTGAATTGAGCAGTAAGTCTTCTGCAGTTGTCTCCAGAAGCATAATCCTGCCCTTTTTTCGATATTTTAAATGGGGAGAACCCAAATTTTAGAACCTCAGAAACAGCTGACAGAAAAAAATACAAATGCTAAACTTCAGATTCTGTTGCCTAAAACAAAGTATGATGTTTTGCTCACAGCTTTATTTTCCTAGGTGTATATGAATATGTATTGAAGAGGAACATGTTTACACCACATAATTTTACACCATTAGCATTTTATGTCTTTGAAATCTTGTGGAAAACTAGTTAATTCTCTATTAGCTGCATCCCTCGAGGTGACCAGTTTGTTTTCTGGCATGTGTAGTGGTTCAGGAACAAAGAGTGCTTTTAGGAGCCCAGTATATGTATGTACCTCTTACAAAGAATCAAGGCCAGTACCTCGTTAAATATATGCTGCTTTCTTGGCATATGCCAAATCTTCTGGCTCAAGCTGCCACTGATGGAATTAAACCTTGCAAAACCTGGGTGTGTCCCTCTTCATATCCCAGTCAACTGCTTCACAGAGAGAGCAATGCATTTTTTGTCTCCAGAGCAACTCAGTCTTGCTGGTAATCACACACATACCATTCAGCACCCCACTAGAGCATGGGTGCTCTTCATTCCCAGTGAGCTTCACTGTCTTGCCAAGTCCAACAAAGATGGCTTACACCCTTCTTCTCCACAGCCTTCACCCTTTACAGTCAAGGAGGTTTCCAAGAGAGCAACTCAGCATCCTTTGCTGAAAAGTAAGGAGCCACATTTCCGTAGGAACTTTGTCCCATTTCCAGGACTCCTAAGCATACAGGAATTCCTGTAAAGAAAGCCAAGTATTCTCCAGGAAAGTGTGTGTCACAAATTAGGGCAGCTTCTATGTGATGGAAGTTATGTCCAGGAAAATCAGGGTGGGTTAGCCATGGTGCAACAGAGGAAAAAGAAAAAACAGCCAAAGCCTCAAAAGCCAGAATAAAGAGCTTGGCCATTGAGTACTGAGACTAAATGTCATTTGTAATTAATTGCTGTAATAAGGTCAGCTGGCTTCCTAATTGATTTCAGCTTCTTACTAAGGGATCAGTGCTGCCAATTAGTTTGCATGTAAACTTCAGAGGATATGAATAATCTAAGTTTAGCAAGCTGCACTGACCATAACTAATAATCCCTCTTGCTCTTCTGCAAAGAATACACAATAAGCAAATGTTGTTCCCTGCCTGGCATCACAGGTGGAACCAGGACTTGTTCCTCCAGCTGCTTACTTCCTCTGAGGTGCTACAAAGCTCTTAGAAGAACTGGCAACCTTGAAGTCACTTTTGAAGGAAGAGTGTTCCTAGGCAGAATAGGAGCAGTGTGATAGCTCCGTCACTAGTAGTGTAAAGAAAAGCATATTTAGCTGGAGCTCCCTGTCTGCTGAACAGCTGTTTCAAGAGCCACGAGTCCTTTACAAAATCCAGAACTGTTCTAAGCTGGCATCAATCTTAATGTACCTTGATCAGTTATAGACTGCAAAGACAGCAGGCCAATTTAAAAACAGCAATTACTTCTTTACTGTGGTCTTGTGCTAGCCAGAAGTCAACCAAAGATAGAGATATGGCCTAGATCCTGTCACAAATTAAAAAGTAGAAATATCCTTTGCCTTTCCCAACTTTTGAAACTTCATTGACTTTTTTTTTGTACCATGTACATTTCCAGCTACTAGTTCCTTCACATAGACTTTGCTTTGACTTTTTTTTTTTGAAGGTCACTGAGGTCTGTGTATTCATAGCTACAGAACACCTATGTTTCTGGCTGTTTTAATGTCTGTTCTTGTTTGGAACAAGACACAGTGGTCTTTGTCATTGCTAATTCAGTGATGGTCAATACAATATCAGACGTTCCGTAAATGCTTCCAAAACTTAGAACAAGCTCTTGAGTCCCTCCCTGCCATGCAGCTAAACAAATCCATGGATGTAAATAAAAGGAAATAAATGAATATGCACACAAGTGAAAGGAAATAAAATGAATACAAGGAAAAAATAGTTTTCCACAGTGTCAGGAATACAATGCATCAGATGCAAGCTAACTTAAATAGCAATAGGCTCTGTCACAGTTTTACTCAAACATCTACATGTGTGCACATATGTAAATATACACATACACATGTATGTACATATATTGTTATTAATCAGGTGAAATGCAATCTCATGTCTTTAATATTTTTAATTTTCAATTAATATTTTAATTTTTCAATTAATAATGACTATTATTTCAGATGAGCATTGTCCAGATTCCTACTTTTTTAAAGTTCAAAACATGTTCTCAAACTTCTGGATTAACACAATAACGTGGGTTAGGGTTCAAAAGCTCTTATCTGAAATTTATATACCCCAGAATTGTGTATGTATACTCCCCATCCTCAGTTGTCAGAAAGTCAGTGGGTGTGGAATTTAACCCTCAGATCTGATGGTCTGGTTTGAACCCAAAGATAAAAACAGTTTTAAAGAATTTTAGAAGAATTATATTATCTAAAAGAATGTATATGCATGTCTGTATTGTACTGACTATATACTCCTTGTTTCAGCCCCTCAGAGATAGGGGACAATCTCCTGTGGTTCTGTGATTAGGGTAGTTGTGTCCCGTCACCCATGCTACATCCTATGTCACTGCATACTACTAATAAAAATAAATAAAAGCAAATAATAAATTAAAAAAAATAAATTTACCCTGCATGGCACACTCAAGAGATGTGCAAAATATTGTGTGGCATTTCAGAGACTGGCAGACATGCAGAAATAACATCTGTAGTAGGGAGGGCGTGAAAACCCTACTAATTCTGTAGCCTGTGGTGACTGAGCAGAAGAAGCCTTTGACCCTGTATCTGCACTGGGTGGTGGTGTCAGGCATGGAAGGCAGCCGAGCTCACAGAGCTATGGTGTTTAATCTCATTGTCAGATGGAACAGGCAGCCTGGCACTGGGTCTGCTCTCACAATGGGCACTGTTGTTGTTAGATTAATATACCCGTGTCCTTTTGTGTTAACAATGAATCAGACAAACAATTTAGATTTCCAGAGGTGGAGCGACATCTTACAGAAGCTTTTGCTTCTGCATTCTACAAGGAATCTGTTTTTGAGCAGCACATCATCTCTTTTGTTTGGGATGTCCCTTTACCCTTGTCTTTTCATTCCTTTCAGGGCCCCCAAAGGGCTCTGTTTAAATCTATATAGATGTTTGACCCATTTGCTTCTTCCAGTTCAGAGCAATTAGATGTGAGTTTTTGAGGGCTGAATGTCTGCAGTTTGGGACCAGTATTTTTCACACAAGGGAGCAATAATAAAAAATAAATAAATAAATAAAACACGAGAAAGTAAGAAACTGGGGGGAAAGTCTTTGGTTTGGTGTTGTCAGTGGGGCCAGTACTTCGTGGGCTTCATCCATGGAGTCTGTCACTCTCCATAAATAATACTATAGCTTTTGTTTCTCACTTTGATGGTCAGAGCCTAAAAATGCTTTGATGGTTTTATTTCCTAAATTCTAGAGGAACTGCCTGTGTAAGTACATTTGTGCAGTCCTGGGACATAGAAACTATGTCATATGCTGCTCAGAGAAAGCAATGTCAGTTTTCTTGCTTGGTAGCTTCTGAATTTGTCCCCTGTAAGCTGAACACACCAAAATACTTACTATTGAAGGTCACCTCTTGTGCAAGGGGATTACTCTGCAGAATTAAACATTTTTGCAAACTACAACACATTTCAGCTTTCACTGAGGTATCTGCTGTTCAGTCTGTACTAATAAAAAAGCTGGCTTCTCCAGCAGCCTTCATCCCGGGCTGTTATTAATACAAGTACTGAATTATATAACACCCCAGTTTAATGTACTTTTCTGTTTTGGGGAAGCGGTCACAGAAAGGATCAATGATTTATCTAGTTGAATGTAGTTCTGACTGAATATCGAAGCGTGCAGCAGGATCTGAATGCTGTGTCCTTTATTTTATTTAATATACCACACGTTTCTCCTGCAGCCAGTAATAGAAACCAGGAGTTGTGCTGTAACCATTAGACAATGCTCTGTCAATGGAACATCCAGATGCTGCGGTGAGAGAGGGGGGACGG